GATCGGTAGTTTCTCACCTAATTTTGTTGATGCGGTACTCATTAGTGAAAAAGTAAAAAAGCTCTTAGGTTAGGAAAGATTTCAAACACCAACTTAAGGAAAAGTAATTTTGGCACCTTTGAAGATAATGAGATTAGCCGGATAGAGTCCACTACATTCCAACCATGAGGGTTATGGAATAATCAAGGGCACTAGATTTCTATACTCAATAAGAAAATAGAAATAATCAAACTCTAGTTGCCCCTATAAAAGGCCCTCATTATAACATTTTTTATCCATCATCAAACTACTAACTTCTTATGCAAAGCCATCGAATCCGGAATTAACAATCTTTCAATGGTCCTCAAAGATCATGTTCTCAAAATAGTGGCAAAAGGTATCAAGATATTGCCTCCTCTTCGAGTTTCACTAAATGAGTTAGGCAGCCACCTCATTGTCCTTTGAAATTTTATATTGTTTGATTTGAAATTAGAAAATGTTCCTTTAAAAGTATTATTTAGCATTATATCTTCCTCCATCAAGAAAGTATAATGGCAAAATCATTCAAAAACAAGAACATTCAAAAGGTTAATCAATTTTCAAAACATGATAAACCGATACTAGAGGCAGCTTCTTCAATTCATAAACCCAAGGATACATCCTCCTAATAATGTTTATGAGTAGAAAGTAAGGCATAAATCCCTCATTTTGTTGAAACCAGAAAAAAAAATCAAAAAAATCATTTTCCAATTAAATTCTCAAAGGAAAGGTTTGCTTGGAAAATCCTCATGAAGCCTAAAATTCAAAGACTAAATGGTTGATGTCCTAAATAATGATAAATAGTACATCTTCAAGTCATGAATACATTAATCGTTTCTTATTTTAGGTTAATCTAAGAGTTTTTTCAAATTAATCATTATTTTTCAAAAGAGATTAGCATTCATCAATATAGACAAATTGGCTTTTGAAATGAAGAAATACCATCTTTCATATATCTCATAAAATTTTTATCCCTTATCGTATCACTTTGAGCTTCGTTGATTTTTTTTTTACGATAACCGAGACTAGGATCACCACGCACACTTGAGGGCGAATGCAAAGTTATAAATGATTAATAAAACTCTCAAAAGAATTTATCAAAGGAACCCTATCGATGATTCTAAAAAAAAAAGGAATGTCAAGAAAAAAGACAAAGAGAGAGCATCTCTAATATAAAATTACAAATCAAGATAAGAGTTAAAAGCCAATAAGAGTTGAGGTTAAGAAGCCAAGTCCATTTTCAAAATGACAATGTTCTTAGGACCCGTTAGAATGTTTTTTTAGCCTTAAATCGAGGTAATCTAATTGAAAAATGGTGATTGAAATGAGTTAGTGTAAATAGGTCAAACAGGTCGATTGAAACTTCTCTCTTTCAATTTGACTAATTCTAGTCGGTTTTCATCAAGATTTCAAAAGGAAAATGCTCCTGGAGTGGTGAGGGAGTTTTTCTAGTGGTGTTTACTCTCGATTTAGTTAAAAACGGCCAAACCCTTAAGGAAGAGAAATAGGTCGGCTAGTGGTGTTTCAAATCCAATTTTAGTTGGATTTGAAACTTTAAAATTGGGTACCCTCCCCGAATCGAAAGAGAAAAAGTGGGAGACTTGGTTGAAGCTTCAAGGCTACCGATCTCCCTCCTCCATCAACGACGACCCAAGCCACCACCATAAACAGGTAGTAACATCCTCTCTCCCAAAACAAGGGCTAGTTCATGCACCGAAAGGTCACCTGGATGACAATTGAGCATCTCGGTAGTAGTATAAGTGTTCCGAGAGGCATTTTTATAATTTGACCCCTACGGGAACTTTGTTAATTTATCCTCTAAGGGCATTTTGGTCACACTTTAATGACCACCTGGTTTGTTTCTCTTATCTATTTGCTTTTACTTACTTTATGGCGTTATTGTATAATAATGTTAATTTCATTTGTGTGAGAAAAGTTAGATTATGTATGCTTGTTTATTTCATTTAGATTTAGTATTTTAAATTTGTTGAATTTATTTAGTCAATGTTTAATTTTAGAATACATTTCAATAATTGAGTTAGGTAATTAATAGGAGAACAAATTATCAAGTCTCCTAATTTTTAAGAACCGATGATGATTCTCCACCAATAAAAAAAAAAAAAGAAGTGCTAGGAAAAATTTAAGAAAAGAATACTTAAAAAAAAAAAAAAAGGAAAGAGAAAATGCTAAAAAAAAGTGCTAGAAAAAATGCTAAGGAAAAGCGAGAGAAGAAAAAAGAAATAAAGAGAGAAATACTAGGAAGAGATTAAAACAAGAGAGAGAGAATGTGCTAGAAAAAATCAAATGCTAGGAAAAAAAAAAGAGGAAGGAAAAAAGAAATGCTTGGGAAAAGATAAGGGGAAAAAAGAAAAGAAAAGAGAAGCAAAAACATAGAAAATATTAAGTAAAATCTAATAAAGACTGATGTTAACCCAACTCAATCATTTTAGTAATCGGGTTGGTCTATGACATACCAATTATGTCTAGATTTTAACTAGATCCGATATTGAATTGACGCAACACTCGACGAAGGGGTTCGACAATTGATTCAACATGATGTCACAAATAAAAATAAAAAACTTAGTTCGACATAGGAAATAAAACTTGAAGTTTTGACATGGAATATTAATCTTGGCAAAAATAGAATTTTTTAGGAGATAAACCTTAAGACTAAACTAGATGCAGTACCTTTCTTAGGAAATGATGCATTTGAGTGATTGATATCTTTCCAAAAGCATAACTAACTCCTTACCTATGAATCTCTCGAATCATTGCTCATTTTAAGTTTTTAGTTCCTCTATTACTAGGTGGTGATTTCAAAATTAATAAATAACTTATATTCTAAATAAACGAATTTTCTCATAAATAAATTATAAATAAAATAAATAATTTTTGGGAGTCCCGCAAAGGTTGGGTAGTGACATAAAAAAACACAAATCCTAACATACAACGAACCAAACCTCAAACAAAAAAGAAAACCAAAAAAAAAAAAATCCTAGATCTAATTCTATAATAACAAACAAAATGAGATCCAAAATTTTAAATTAAGATTGATATTTCCTTATTAAAAAAAAAAAAAGGCACAAAAATTTGATAATATGGATTAGAAGAAATGGAGGATTAGAACATGGAAGAAAGAAGAAAGAAAGAAAAAAAAAAAAAAGGAAAGATGAGAGCTTTGGAACTAGCCACTAACTAAAGAATGGTTAATTAGCAAATATCTCAAGAAAAAGGAAGGAAAAAAGACGCTGGGTTTTAGTTTTTAGAGAGTTTTAGAGAAAAGATGATCAAACATCTATCATTACTTTGTCTTGAAAAAGAATTATTTACTAAAATATCGAGGTACTTTACTAACCAAGATTTTGGTTAGAGCCTATAAGAGTCAATGACTTATCTATATTGAAGACTAGTAGCGAGGTCAAATTTTGTCTTCCGTTTTCTTCTTAGATTAGTAGATATAAACACTTAGTTTGGTTATGTCAAGCAATATGTTTATTGAGAAAAAAATGAATAGATTTTTCTTTTTAGAAATTAAATTAATATTTTGGATAAAAGAAACCACATTTATTCTTTTCTCTTTTTTTTTTTTTAATGAAAGGAGGAAATTACTTTTAATTAAAATTTTTGCGAGTGGAACACTTGTCAAAATATACATGTAAGACATGGCCTTGTCTCTATTGAATAATTATTATAAGCAAAGGGATAAGAATTTTTCTCAAATACTCCATCTCATGATCCATCCATGCTTTCTTCTATGAACCAATTAAAATTAAAGGGCTAAAGGTTCCATATGTCCCTCAACTATTTTATTTATCTTAATCGTGTTTCTTTATTAATTTTCTCATTAATTGTATCCTTTTACTCTTACTTTGCATATTAATTTCGTCCTTTCGTCTAAATTTTTTGGTAATGGCATCAATTTCTAGCAACAAATGCATGGAATGTTGATGCGTAGCAATTTTTTTTCAAGAAAAAAATTCTGAAATAAAAAATTTTAAAAATTCCAAAATGTTCATCTTTTTCTCTCGCCTTTTACTTTTATTCCTATAGTATGAAAAAAATTTCATAAAAAACTTTCCATTTCTCGGTTTGGATTTGAAATAAATTTTTGAAAAAAAAATTGCTTATGTTCTTTCATATCAATAAAAAATTTCTTTTTGGTTTGAATTTGAGAGAAAGTAAAAAATAAAAATAAAAATTGAGGGATGAAATTAATTATTTATTTCTATACATATGTGTTAGCATCATATGCGTACGTCAGTCGAAATTGATGCCGTTATCAAAAAATTTGGACCGAGGGACAAAAATATGTCAAAATTGAAGAATAAAGGGACATGATTAATGAGAAAATTAGTAAAAAGACACGATTACAACAAACAAAATAGTAAAGAAACATCTTGAATCATTAATCCAAAATTAGGGCCGACAAAGATAGAGTAAATAGGGAAAGTGAAAACTGTAATCGAAATCAAGAATAATATTCCTTGGGATTTGAAGAAATTTACATAAAGTGGAGGTCTATGGCACAAAAAGAAAAAAAAAACTAAAAAAAAATTCGTCGGGTCTAACCTAATTAAGGGCCTTGGGTCATTGAGTTTAATCCATAGTTCATCGGGTTGATCTATCTGCGGGGTTTTTTTATTCTTGTAAAAGAATAAAAAAAGAGTAAATTATAAATTAGTCTCTCTAGTTTCAAGAAATGAATTAATTAATACTTTTTGTTTTAAAAATTATTATTTAATCATTTGACTAGTATTGATTATACTTAATTTAATATTATTTTTATTTCACAAAAATATTTTTTTCTCATCAATCTTTTCATACTTTTTTTATTTTTTAAAACAAAAAATCAAAGTAAATTGAAAAGGAAAAAATGATTAAGTTACTAGTAGATTCAAAAACATAAAAACTAAATAATTAGTTTCTAAAAGAAAGAATACTAATTAATTTGTTTCTCGAAATTAGAAAGACTAATTTATAATTTACTCGATAAAAAGGCCAAATTTAAAAACATGGTTGGATTTTAAACGGTTTATGATCGGTTCGATCAAGTTAACCGAATCAATGATTTGAATAGTCCAATTAAAAACCTGATTTGACCTTAATTTTTTAAGTCGGATTATGTTTAGCTATAAGTAGAACCAAGAAGAATCACAAGCAAGACAAACAAACTCCAATTGTGTTGTACCCTTTCAATAAACACTATTAAAACAAGGAAAAAAAGTATGAAATAAAACCACCAATAGTATCAAGAGGAAATCTCCATATGATTACAAGGAGATCATACCACTTGTGTTTGTTTTTATTATTGGTCATGGATGACTTGTACCAGCAACGTTCCAAATATATTTGGTAGAAAGAGACATAAGCTAACCAAATTTGTTTCTTCTTCTTCTTTTTTCCTAATAAAAGAATAGAAAAACCAAATTTGAAAACATGTTTGGATTCTAACCAATTCATAATCGGTTTGGTAAGCTAACCAAATCAATAATTTAATAGTCCAATAAAAAATCTGACTTAATCTTGATCTTATATCAATTTATTAAGTTGGATCAATCGAGTTTGACTACAAAGAGAATCGACAACAGTTATAAATAAGAGACAACAAACTCTAAAAAACAAAAAAGGGCAAAACAAACTTGTTCCTTTCTTTCAATAATCACTAGTAGAACAAGCAACAAAGTAGGAATTAATACAAGCAAAAATACCATTTGTTTTTATTATTGGTCATGGATGAAGATGGACCAGCAACTTTCTAAATACATTTCAAGAGGAATATTTATAGGTGAAGATGGATCAGCAAGCTATTTGACCTTCTAGGCCAGATCTGAAAAGATTGCCCTATAATATATGTGGTTATGGGGTGCTTTGTAAATGGATTTTGAGTAATTTGTTTTATAGTTGAGGCAAAAAATAATAATAATAATAATAATAATATATATATATATATATATATATATATATATATATATATCTTCTAATCAATTTTTGTATAGTAATATCAACTCATCCCTTCATTAAATTAAAGATGAACTATTCAGAGAACGAAAAGATTCCTGAAATTTTTGTTTTTTAAGATTTGGAAGAGTTAACTTTTTTGTTGGAATAGGGAGAAAGGAAATAATTAATTGATTGTTTAAATAATTAAGACCACGTGATTAGCCCTTTCTCGTTTTTATCTTTCTAACGTACATGATGGTAAGTTGATTATATGTATATTCTAACTGTGACACAAACCTTACATCACAGACAAATGGGAAAAGAGCAAACCAATTAGGATAATTATCCAATTAACCCGCAATTGATGTTACTGATCATATAGAAAGGGATTTTGCGATGGCAGCTGAACACTTTAAAAAAAAAACAAATTTAGTTATTGTTAGAGGCAAGACATAGGCTCTTTCGTTCTATAAAAAGAAAATGGATTCTTATCAATTTAAGAGATGGAGAATTCATAATTATAATTGTTCCATTAATGTTCTTCTGATGTTTGATGCCTTTATAATTAATGTGTTTAATTTTATTTTTTTGAAATCGAACTTGAGATGTTTTTAAAAGAGTAAAGAAGCACTAATACCAGTTAGAGATCGATATATATAACTCATTTGCCTGTAATTTTTTCTTTTTTTAACGAAATAATAGAACATAATTTCTATTTTTTCTTAATTATTTCAGGATCACGTTTTACTTATAAAGAATTTTTTTTAAAAAAAAAACAGATCATTCGCATATAGATTAAATTTTCGTAATATATATATACATATATATTTCTTATAGCTTCTTCTTGAATTCGAACTTGATAAATTAATTACATGAAATTAAAGCAAGCAAATGCGATGTTCTACGTACAGCTGCAATTAACAGGTGTTTTTTCATAAAAAAAAAAAAAAAAAAAACGTGTGGGAAATGAAATGATTCTAGTCGGTGTGAATTGAAAGTGTTAAAAACATGCTTTATTTCTTAATGATTACTACACAGCAAACGAGTCTACCTGCACCAATGAATTAAAATGGATTTTTTTTTTTTTACCAAGCCAATGAGCTACCTCCATGCATGAATAAATTTTTTGTATTCACTCGGAAAATGATTTTGTCAGAAATTAGGTGGTTGTCATCTTCATCAATATTACAAGAAAATAACAAAGGTCATGTCTTAAAATATAAAATTCCTTTTGACCACGTTTTTTATGTTGAAAACAAGTAGTACCTATCTTCTACAGAACTAATCAAGAATAGCCATCTTGTAGAAATTACTTCTAATTTAGAATTCACTTCAATAGAATGTTTGCAGCTACTTACTTTGAAAAATGCGTTTTTTATTTTTTTTAAATCATGACAACTATTACATATACCTTATTAATTATATATGGGTAGTTTGGCTATCTTAGGTTACTTATTACAAGATTGATTATTGCTAATTTGTGGTGGAAAAGGTTGATGTGTCTGAGATGAAATGACACGTGATTGTATTTAATTGACATATGATAAAAAAAATTAAAAAAAATGTATCCTATTTGAATTATTTAGAAATTAAAAATTAAAATTTTTTTTAGAGATAACTATAATGTTAATGTCTTAAATTTGATTATTTGTCTATTTGAATACTCAATGTTTGATTTATTTTTTTCTATTTGAGTCCTCCCGTCACCTAGGGCTTAAAAATATTAATGTGATCATGATACATTAACGCACGATAATTTTTAAATAAGATGGGTCCCACTTGAATTTGTTGAGAAAAAATAAAAAAAGAACGGAATAGGATTTTTTTTTTTTTGTTAAAATGAAAATTTATCATTCGTTAAAAAAAAAATGTAAAAGCTTACACTATTTTCTTAATTATTTCAGGATATTTTCAGATTACTTATAGGTACTTTTTTTTCTAATTGCCTTAAACATATGATTCAATCTAGTCAGTTCGGGAGAACTTGATAAAATAATAACATGGAAAGTAAATAATGCAATATTTAGCACTCAAATCATTCAACGTACGTACAGTTCAAATTAAAGGTGTTGCTTTAAAAATTATGTGGAAATGAAATCGTACAAGTCGGTGTGAATTGAAAGTGTTAAATTTATGTGGAAATGAAATCATTCAAGTTGGTGTGAATTGAAAGTTGTTAAATTTGATATGCTTAATTTATTCCTCAATGATTGCAAGAGAGCGCAACCGAGTCAAATGGCATCAATTTAAAATGGATTTTTTTGTGCAAAACTAATGAGCTACCTTTAAGAAAAAAGATTTTCTTACTTACTTTAAAAATGCAATTTTTATACTTTCCTTTCATCATAGCAACGTATTCTTATATTTCGTTTTGTAATGATGGTCAATTAATCACAAACTCCTTAAAGCTAACCCTTAATGTCTAATAATTTAGCTTATTAATTTTGAATAGTTTGGCTATTTTGGGGTATTATTTGGTGGCGGTTAAATGCTGTAATGATTAGATAATTTTGATTTTTAAAATTTTCATTTAATTAAAAAAAAATCATCACTGTCTACGAAGATAAAATCATTTTCAGATCAAGTATAGAAACATGTGGATGTGTTTTAACTAATTTCATCACTGCATGCAACAATTTGACTAAGAAGCTATTCAAGGATAAAAATAAAAACCCGAGACCTCTCAAGTCACAAGCTCCCCATATATATTACCACCACACAACACCCCATTGGTGATAAAATTGATCACCATGATAGTTGAGGGACTAAAGTGTCACCTCAAGCCAATGAGGCTTTTACACTTTAAGGTTGAACTCCCTGCTTAATCAAGGAGCTGAACCCCCAAAAGGCGACTACCACGGAGGCTGGGAACCCTTTGGTTTTGAGCTTGGCTACTCTAACATGTCAAATTTCCCTGCGTATACACTTCCAAATTAAGCACAATAAGAAGTATGTATATATATATATATATATATATATATATATATATATATAGTAGCCACCTTTTGATGCATCACAAAACATTAGCTAAATGCTATAAACTATTATGTCAAAGCCCAAAAGAAGATGAATTAAAAGAGGTTTGAAATTAAAAACCTATAGCATATATGGACACATGAACTTGATTTATTATACATATGGTCAATGAAATATGAACCTTCAAAAACAGGCATGTGGGCAATGAGATGAGAATAATGCAAGAAAAAGAAAATGCAAGCCAGCTTATTTCTACTAAAAATTGAATATATTAACTTTTTTTTTTTTAATTTTTTTCCTGAAAAAGACAAAAGAAACATCGTGTTTTTTCTTCAATAATTGCTAATCTTTAGTGGATCTTTCAGTAAGATTCAAACCCAAATAAATTTCTCATCACATGTAAGAGAAAAACGAAGGAATGGATGTTGATTCATAGAAGCCATTTAATTTGCCAATAATCTTGCTTGTCAATAATGCAAAATAGGGTTGGAGATTGCATGCAGCACGTGGATATACATCATCGCCATGTCAATGGGCATATGTGGAGCATCTCCATGCAAAGAGGATGTTAGACCTTAACCATAAAATTTGAAGCAACAGGACCTTCTAAGAATACAATATACAGATTTTAACTTGTGTAGATCTTTCTGAGCTGGCATCAATCCTGACAGATACAGATCTTTTCAGTGCTCATTTTATAACTCAGAGACATAGCTGGACGGGCCTCGACTGTAATACCTCAGGCTGCCGGTTGGTGGCACACAAGATTTGTCATTATGCTTTACAACTAACCCACAACAATTATTACAATTGTAGAGATAACATGCCTATGTCTAACGCTGTAGTCAGCCTTTGCATGCTGTATCTGTTATACAAACAAAGTGTATACAGCAACAAAAGGAAAAAAATTAACGCAAGTTCAAAAATGGAAAAAAATTAACAAAAGTAGAGCTACTAATTAAAGTAAGTTGAATTACAAGTACTAAAAAAAAAAAAAATGGGGAAATTTACCAAGAACACAATTATATAAAACAAGGCCGTGTGTGTGTGTGTTTTTGAGGCAATATCATCCTTAATTGAGCAATTTGTTTGAACTTGTTAAAGACTCTTGATTACTCCAAAGCAAAACAGTGTTTGAAGACACCAGTCTTGTCATGAAACGTGATTAAGCAAAAGGAATCTACATGTAACGGTTCCATGAAAACAAATCAAGTCTATGACCCAAAACTATATTCGTTTTGGTAAAATAACAAAGCTATTCCCATACTGTAGGAGCTGCTCTAGTTGACGTTAGTTTTAATATGAAGATTGGGAAATAGAAACAAATCTTCTCATTTTATTCCTAAATTCCTTTCACAAGTAACCTAGTCCTCTAGTCCTCAGAATTAAAAGATTTTCACACAACCAAAGGGACAAAAAAAGGTCAAGCAGAAAATATATATCATATAAATGCAATGATGATCAGCACTCATAAGTGAAATCAATCCTTCAATTTTCTTGCCAAATAAAACCTCAACTAGACAACTAATTATGCAAGAGCAAAAACATCCAAGTTCCAAATGTATGCTTAAATTTACGGTGTAGTACTTCACGGAGGAAAGATCAAGGACAGCATAGCCAACCAGTGAATTCAGCTCCTGCACATAAATAAATAAGCATGCACATAATGCCACCCAAAATAGCCTTTAAGAGAAATAATTTACAAAATACCTCTAATCTTTGTCAAAATGCTTAGAAGCATTTTCATCAAAGTTTCTCAAAAACAAAACCAAGTTGAGAGAAGTGTTCCATTCAGAAGTCAGATTGTTACAGTGCAAGATGTCAATCCAAGAAGCACAAAACATTTTTCCTTGGATTAATCCCTTGATGAAGAAACTAGTGGGGTTAATTTCTGCCGCAGCTCGGATAAATTTAAGCATGTAGGATCATTCACCTGTGGAGGAAGAAGGAAAAAAAAAAAAAGAACATCATAACTGAAGCTAATTAGTTGTTCCTGGATTTAGAAAACAGCTTTAGAACATAAACATAAAACCCTAAACCAGGTAATTGACAACAATTGATTGTACCTGAGTTTGGACAGTGTGAAATAATCTTTCATTTACTTTGGTGGAAACACAATTAACAACGGAAATTCCTTCTTCAAGCAACACTTGCAATACTCTTGATAGGGGCAAATCTCTCCCCTTCAAATCACTATCAAATATAATCTCAATACCGCCTGGATATGCCTGGAGAGCTACTGAACTTGCAGAATATTTCTTAGAACTTCCACTTGCTGAGGCAACAACACCTAAATTGGAAAGTTTCCTTAACCTATCTTTCTTGGCACTGAGTTCTTTGATCTTCTTTTGGAGGTATTTTATATAATTCACAGCCTGGTTCATATGATCCGATATCGAACGCTTTCCCTGAAATCCCAAAACAAACCCTAGTGGCCTAATTATGGAACCCCAAGAAAATTAAATTAAAAAAAAAAAAAAAAAAAAACAAGAACTAAAACAATAACGAAGGCCTATAAAAGAAAGGATTAGAAGGAAATTCAAGTTTTCTTACCTTGATAAATTCAAGAGGAAGGAAAGCTCGAAGGGATGCATAAAGGGTTGCCATTTCTTGCCTTCTTTGTCTCTCAATTTCTCTATGCATCATCTTCTTCTTCCCATTGTTATTACTAGTTCTAGCAAACTCATTATTGTCCATAGAAATTGAATTTCTCGGCCGACCACTTTCCATGTCGTCGTTGGTTATATCACTGCCATGGAGTGCAGCACATTGAGCAAGAATCAGATCTTGTGAGATATTTTGTTGTTGGTGTGAATTGGAGGAAATCTTGAAGCACAGCTCATCACCATGGTGTAAAGGGAACATTGAGCAAAATTTTTATTAAGGATTGAAGCTTTCTTTATCTAAGTTGGCAATGGAGGTTAAAGAAGAAGATACGTTTGTTAGGGTATGTGATTTTCTATGCCTCTTATTTGCCAAAGATTCCTTGAATTTTTTTATTTATTTTTGCAACAAGAAGAGAGAAGACTGGTGACCTTATTCTTGCATTGTTAAATCTTTGCTTCCTTGTGGAACTGTTGCTATGTACAAAAGTAAATCCACTTCTTTGCATTCACACTTTGTGAAATAAACTAGGTCGTCAATGATTTCTCTTGGACTTTTTATCTTTACCGTCCATTTTAGCACGATTTTATTGATTTTGAGACATAATATCCGTCTGATTAGACAAATAATTTGGTTGACAAGGAGTTGTGGGTAGGAAAAGAAAAGAATAGAAACTTGTCTGCATCAAAAGACAACGCTGAATAGCCACTGTCTTTTGCATTTAATACTAAAAAAAATATTACTAATAACACTAATCAAGACTATGATGTGTATATGTTATTCTTATATAATTGTTCACAGAAATCATTTATCGAAAAATATCCATCATCAGATTTAGACTTATGAGAAATATCAACCGGTAGATTTAAATTTACTGAAGTTATTAATAAAAATCACTTATTTAATTATTGATTTTTTTCGGTAAGTGGAATTTTATAAAATAATTATATAAGAAAATCATTATTTATATATAATAAGAAAGACTTTTTTATTACTTTTTTTAACTGAAGACTTCCATTACACTAGAAATGAGCATGTGACTTAATTAGGGTTCATCACTTCAAAGCACAAGATTGATTTTTTTTTTTTTTTTACACACACACAAGAAATTCTTGTAAATTCAAGGAGTTCACTGCCATTTAGGCTAGAGGTTATTGGTTAGTATATAACCTTATGAAAAATATTTATAAAGCAAAAAAAAAAAAAAAACTTTGAATTGATTGATGTATATGCACTTCACTATCTAATGAAGTCATCCTAAGTAAAAAATCATGAACGGACTGAAAAATGGGTTTGTCATTCAACAACAAAAACTAGACATGTCAAGTATCGTAAATTTAAAGAATATTATTTTCTGAAATAACTTCTCAAAAAATCTCTTTCATTGAATAAGTGGGAGTCATTGGTACGGCCTACAAATTCAATGATTTTGGGAAAAAAAAATTTCATAAATCAGCATTATTAATATTTTCCTCAAACTGTTATCATCTATAGGAAAACCCATTCTACCACTTATATTGTTAAAAAAAAAGATCCAAGTTCCTGGGAGAAGTTCTTATGCAACTGAATAAATGGTTCGTAAAATATTCAAGTAAAGTAATTAAGTGCTTAAACATGCATTTCAGATATATGTATATCTTTCTAAGAAAGAGAAAAGGTATTGCTTGCTCATAGGCCATCCCATGATCCCACTACTGCGCATATACCTTCCTAACCATTTTGTGGTCGAGCAGCAGCTTTTTAGCATGAATAAAATTGAAAAGCAAAACCAAATAGAAGTTAAAAAGTGTGTTAAATAGAATAATTGTGAATGGAAACATAGTTAATTACAAATTTTTTTCTAAATCTACCTTCCTAATAATCCTGTTGAAATTGTTAAAATCAGACAATCTAAATCAAGTTACGAGATTAAAAATAAATAAATAAATTCTCGTAGCATAATCCTACAATATAATCATGACTGACAAAATGGAAAGAATAGACCAAAGTAATTAAAAAAAAAAAAAAATGAAGCTCAAACCATTACAATGTCCCCTTAAAAGGGTTTAATTTTTTCCTGCCCTTTTGACCTTGGGAACATTATAAGTTTGGCCCTTCCTCCCTCTAAAACCCATTACTCTATTAGTCACATTTTTAAAAGTTTGGTACTCAAGCAAAGTGCAAAAGGCAATAATATATGTTCCTCTAGGTACTAACACTAAATAATATGAGCACTAAAATTGCAAACCTCTGCAGTGCATGTACCGATACAGAAGTCGGGAAAAGGCAAAAGAAAAGTGGCAGAAACATATATATGAAACAGTATCAAGGGGGAAGATTTTAAGAGATGGAGAATAACCCTTTTTTTATGTTAGTTGTGAGTTGGAGAAGGACCTTTTTTAAAAAATTTCCCCTTCCCTAGGACAACATGTGTCTTTTAATTCAGTATTATATTATTCAAAAAAAAAGTAAGAATATATTATATCTCTTATAGTGACTATTTTTAATGTGAATTATTATGGAAATGTGCTGTGTAAAGTCCTGAGATGATGAAGTTTTGGGACCATCAAACCTTGGGATCCCTAACCTATCTTTTAAAGAATCCTGCAAATTGCTCCTTATTTAATAGGAACCTGCTGCATTACGTGCTTCAAGGGGAACGAAGAAAATTTGCAACCAAGTTCTTTTGTTAATGTTAATTAGCTTTTCTGTCCAATTTGCTTCAAAATTATATCGCTTTATTGCATTGTTGCTACCCGACTTCGACGGGATTTCTAAAAATTAAAGATTTGTTTTGGCTAGATTATTTATGATTTATTCTGGATATACGAGTTATTATTGATTTTGGAATCATCGTCTAATATTAAAGGATCTAGAAACTTAAAATAGACAACTGGTGCGAGAGATCCTTAAGTAAGAAGTTGATTACATTTTTGGAAAGATGTCGATTACCAAAAAGCGTATTTCCTTAAAAAAGGTACCTCGTCTAATTTAGTCAAAAATTTTATCTCCTAAAAGTTTTTATTTTTTGTCACAATATTTCTCTGTCAATTTTCAAGTTTTTTTTTATTTTTTTTTATGTCAAATTATTTTTTTTTTTTTTTTGTGGCATCGTATTGAATCAATCGTCGGACCTCTTTGTTAGAAGGCACGTTGGTTCAAATATCGGATCCACTTTAAGTCTCGACATAATCAATACATCGGAGAACGTTATCATAACCCAAAATTTTTCTATATTTTTATTATTTCTCGTTTATTTTATTTTATCTCATTTTAATTTATTTTCAAATTTACTACAAAAACTTAAAAAAAAAAAAGAAATAAAAAAGAAAAATACAATATATATATATATTCAAAATACAAAAAAGGAAAGAAAAATACTCATTCCCCTCAACCACTAGAAATCCCTTATAAAAGGAACATTTTTCCTTCATTTTGGAGGCGACCACAAAGGAAGCCAAGATTCATCTCTCCCAAGATTTTCCAGCACTTGCTCTCCACTCTTTAGCTAGTTGTGCAAGCTTTATCACCCAAAAAAACCCACAAAATCCTCATTTTTCCATCATTCAAACCCTCTCCTCTCCATCAAGCAACCCATCCACCTCTCCCGCAGTTGGTCCGAGCATTTTGCTCTCCATCTTCTAGTTAGTTGTGCAAATTTTTTCACCTAAAAACATCACAAAAAATACCAAAAGCTGAAATAGAAACCGCCAAACACATCTTAACCCATAAACCATACATGTTTACCCAACCAAATGTTTCACTCTCAAATTGATCATTTTTCGATCGGCTTTGACCCGGATATGTCGATCACTAGATCCGTCGATCCCCACCGGTTAAAGGAGGAAACGATGATGGAGGAGAGAGAAATTAGAGATTAAACAATCACGATCCGACTCATAAAAAAACCCAATCGTATCTCCCAATTCCAACCAAATATCCGAGCTCTACCTCAACGGACACGGTCGTCCGAGCTTCCCTAAGCATTTTTCCCATGAAATCACAGCCCAAAGTCATCAAAAAATGGTCTAATTGAACATGACCCGTTTTCGATCCGTTTAGGAGAGCACTGTAAAAATTGGCCGATCTAGTACCAATCCGAGGGCCTAACCACTATAGAAATCCTCCTAATGATCTCATGAGTTGTTTGGTGTCCTTGGAATCTCGAAAGGTGATAGGAATCATCTTCGGTGAGAAAGGGAGATCCGGTTGAAATTTTGGAGGCTCCGATCTCCCTCCACCGATGTCATAACCAATGGCCACCACCACGGTTGAACTCGTAGCAACCTCCCGTACAACGCAGGATGGTCTACGCATCTAAAAGACCACCGGAAGATGAACGATCACTTGACGAGTTGACTCTTGGCATTCTAGGGGCTTTTTTGTAATTTTGCAATGCATGTGCATTTTGGTCATTTCCAATGGCTGTTCAATTTGCTTTTTCCCTATGTTTTATTATTATTTTATGTGGTTTTTGTAATAATCTTTAGTTTTATGCATGTTAGAAAACCTAGAGATACTTAAGAGTGAAATTTATGTTAATATATGATTTTGATATGGTTAGAATATTTTATTAGGGACGGATGATGATTTCAATATGTTTAATTTCTCAAAATTTATTTTATTCGATTTTAGTTAATTAAAATTTTATAATTTTTTTAATTTTGAAATTAGTTCACATAATTAATGGATATGTGAATCATTGAGTCTCTTGATTTTTAGAGACTCATGATAATCCTCTATCAACAAAAAAATAACAATAAAAAAATAAAAATAATAAAAATTTTCAACGAAGTCTCTTATCTAATAAGAGCTGTCGTTTGATGAAAAAATAAAAAAAAATCTCAATAAAGTCTCCTATTTGATAAGGACTCGTCATTTGACGAAAAATACAAAAATAATAAAAATTCTCATTGAGGTCTCTCATTTGATAAGGATTGTCGTTACTAAAAATCATCATTTAATAATCGGGGTATTCTCCGATACATAAGTTATAACGAGACTTAAAAGTGGATCCGATGTTTGAACCAACGTGTCGCCCAATGAAGGGGACCGACGATCGTTTCAATAAGATGTCACGCTCAAAACTAAAAAACTTAATTTGACCTTAAAAATTAAATAAAATATTATAGGAGATGAATTTAGGA